ATGCAGACACTTGTTTGTTCAATTTATAGACCCGTGAAATATCAAAATATTTGTCACCACTTTTTAATGAACAGTTCATTGATATGTGAATCAAAGTTATAAAAGAGTTAAAAGAAGCTATGCTATTAGAAACAATTTTTTTTCAAATTTATTTATTTATTTTTATTTATTATTTATTTTGTCATTAAAAAAAAAAGAATACAATGCCATGTTATATAAATAAAATCTACTTGACCGGGGCTAAAAGAAGACAGTATTTGCCTTATCACTACACCACGATGTGCTTTCATCAGCAAGCGTGTATAACCATTAAAATGTAAACATAAAACATAAAATTACTTTGTATTATATACAAATCTTAATATAATTCTTCCAGTTAACGCTTACCGTTAGATGCGCATGGTTACGTCTATTGTTCAATCTTAGTTAGGGTTCTGTATTCTGTAAATTATTCGCTAATAGTTTCCAATCTTCTTCCAAAAATTCACAAAGCAAGCAATGAACATGGTGTCAGCTTTTATATTTAAAAATAAAAATTTAATTTTAATAATAAGATTAAGTTGTATTTACTATTGAAATGTTTGTATTAGATTTTTTGTTTGCTTATGCTCTAATTATTTTCCATTTTGTTTACTTTGTTTTATTTATTTACTTTTTTGGTTTGCTTTCACGCATACTTTTTTGGCTTTTTTATAAATAATATAATATAACTTTTTATTGAATAAATAAATTTTGTTAATAAATATAATATATAAATTTGATTTTGTATGTTTTTTTATTTTGTATTAAGATATTTTCAGTAATCATTTGCATACATTTTTATTTATGTTTTAATTTGTTTAGTTATTTAGATACTTTAGATTTATTTATCTAGATACTAAAGCTGTATGCATTTCCTTACATTTCTATTTATTTACATTTAGATTAAAAAAAAAACTTATGTTTCCCGATTTGTGATTTAGTTGTTGAACCAAAGAAATTCTAGAGGTTTATATATCACACATAAATATATATATATATATATATATATATATATATATATATATATATATATATATATATATATATATATATATATATTATATACTATATACTATATATTCTAAAGAAACTGAATTTGATTTAGTTTTCAAATTTATTCTCTTTCTTTTTTGCTCTAATAAATACTTCAGTACACATTATTTTATTAATTAAAAACAAAAGAACTTTAAATTTGTTTTCATGCTTCAAATGAAAAAAGCTTTTTTACTTTTAATAATAGCATTTTGATAATAATATTTTTTATTTATTTGATTTTTTATTTAATTTCTTTGACTGTGTATGTATATATATATATATATATATATATATATATATATATATATATATATATATATATATATATATATATATATATATATATATATATATATATATATATATATATATATATATATATATGTATATATATATATATATATATATATATATATATATATATATATATATATATATATATATATATATATAAAAAGTGAGAGAGAGATTTTGATCCTGATTATTATATCTCTTTATAGATTTATTTATTTATTTTATCTTTTTATCGATATGTTTTATATTTGATCTCTATAGATATTTAGTTTTAGCTACTAGAAAGGAAAATGTTTATATTAGTTTTGTTAATTTTTCTTTTAATTTTGTAAGGAAGTTTTATTTTTAAAAATTTAGTTTAATTAAATTATTTTATTCTATTGTGCAATTTAGAGTAGTAAAAAAAGAGATAAGAATTTGAATCAATTTGTCTTCTTTTTAATAAATATGTTTAATGAAAGCAATGACATTGAAATGGCTAGATGATGTTTTGCATTTACAAAACAATGTTAATGCTATAAGGCGTGTTGAAAATAATCATCGAGAAAATGAAAGAAACAGACAAAGGCGAGATGAAATTATTTGTCAACAAAATGTAAAAAGAGCTGGTATACAACTTGAACCCAAACATTGAAAGGGTGGTTAGGCGAGTTTAAAATAATTGTCTTAGGAATGCTCGAGATAGAGCTAGACGAGATGAAATTAATCAACTACGAAATGTTAGAAATGCTGCTCAACGAGCATAATTATCCCATAAGTCATATGTCACACACTATTATCCGTCTTAAGGTTTATCTTCCTGAGAATCAGATTGTGTATTTTAGAGAAGAACAAGTGGATTTGGATCGTGCTGCTCAACGCGATACACACCTTACGGCTTGGTTGAATTCTGTAAATGAAGGAGCGCATCGCTATTCATATGTAGACATTCCATATCATTATGTATAAAGTTAGTCCAACGGGAGAATTATTTTTTCTTAGATTGTTACTTTTGCAAGCAATAGGAGCAATATCTTGGGAGGATTTGCATACTGTAAATGGAATTGTTCTTGAATATATCTTTATTATTTCAAAAATCATGCCTAGAAGTAAAGGGAAGAAGAAAATAACTCTTAATAATGTGAATGATCTGACAAATGCCATTAAAATGATTAGGGAAAAAAAAATCACTAATTTTTGTGCTTCAAAAACATTTTGGATTACACTGAAAAAATTTGCATTTTAATAAATTTCAACTTTTGAATTTTTTTTTTCAATTTGAAATTTTTTTTTCAATAATATATTATGTTGTATGCTTGATTTGTTTTGGTCTTTTTTAATTAAAATTTTAATAATTTTTTCACCAATTAAACTTAAATATAGTTAAACTGATTCATTATTCAATTATCATAATATAATGGTGCAACATGCTTTTGTTAAAAATAATTAATTAGTAGTTTCATTTATTAAACTCACTGCTTTTAAAATTTACTATAAGCCAAGACAATTTATTTAGCTATATAAATGCAATTTTTTTTCATAATTTTTTTCATGATTTTTTATGATTTACATCAGTTACTCAAATAATGTTAAGATATAAAATCAAGAATGAACCAGCAAGATAAAGTGTTAGGAGAAGCAAGAAAGGATAAGCAAAGTAGTATTGCAGTGAATACAAAAGATTAGGAAACTATTTTATAAATCTCGTAAATCTTGCAAAGCAAAAACATTGCAACAACCTTATAAAGAAAAATATAAATGATCCTCTAAGGTTTTTGAAAATCATATAGTCAATATTTCCAAAACCAGAAACTAAATTAAATACTATTACATCTTTTATAGAAGATGAAAGCGTTCCAGCAAAATCAACTAATGTAAAAAACAAATGTTTTATTCTTTCTTTGCCATGAGTGCACAAACATTGATATTGTAGATACTATGAGCGATTTCTAATTTAAAAAACTAGCCAGTTAAAATTTAAGTATGTTTTCAATGTTTTTATAAAAAAAAAGCTAAAGAAAACTAAAATGCAGAAGGCTACAGGTGATGATGAACTACCAGCAGAACCTCTGAAAGAATGTGCACACATTACAGACCTGATCAAATCATTAGAAACACTTGCATAAATCATAAATATAAAACACTTAAATTATGTTTTTCTTTAGTCAGAAAACTCAAAAAGAGCAATATCAGGTTGTTTGTGTTTTTTAAGTCATATGGCTGTGTGGATCACTTAATATATTGGATGAGGTTAATGTTAATGCCTTTGTTCATCTTAATACAAGTGTAGCTAATGTAAATGCATATTATAAGAGTGGCCAGCAAATTTTCATGTTCATTTTTTATGAATTTTCCTTGACTCTTATACAAATTTTCTGATTTACTGATAAAATCAATCAAAACTCCTTGACTTTTGCAAAATTTATTTAATTGACTGACTTTTGTATATGTTCAGCAACCTGCTTTTCTATAAAGCAATTTATAGAGAATCATTTTTTGCAGATTAAAAAATTAAATATATTTAAAGGAGGGTAATAGTTTTAATTTGTCATTATTTTTTTATAATGGTATAACTGATCTAAAAATAGGTCTTTTGAATATGCTGTAAACATTCCTAATATTTTCTGTTGATTTTTAACTACTTATGGTTACAAATAGCAATTTTACAATAAAAGTATTTCACTTTTATTGTTATTTATTAAGTTGCAAAAGAATTTCAATTAAGCAAAATTGAAAGAGCTAATAAGAAACTTGTTGTTTTTGTTTTACAAGAGCAATCTGAAACTAAATTTGCAGAAAAACTGATTGAAATTTAACGAAAAGAAATGCAAAAAACACTTAAGTGTTTTCATATAATAAACTTATGAATATATTCTTATAAAAACTAATGTTTTCTGCCTACAAGTATGTTTACAAAAAGATATGACATTGCACAACAAGTCAGCTATAAACTGATGATTTATTAATTTAAACATTCATTTCTGATGAGTCTTAATTGATGAAACACAGTGTAAATGAAAAAAGTTTGATAAGTGATTTTCTACTAATTTATTATTGCTCTTATAAAAAAATTTGAAGATATTGCACAAAAATTGAAATAAAAATTGCTTTGTTTCGTTGTTGTGCATAATAAATAATCTTTCTTGTTATGTTTTAAAATTATTTTTTAACAATTTTTTACCTTAGATACCATTTAACACAATTTTAAGAAATATTAACTTTTTCCAACAACCTTTTCTTAAATAAAAGTTTATTTAATTTTCTGTTGTATTGTATTGTATTAAATTTGCTGCTGTATAACCCTACTTATAGATCAACCTTAAATCACTTATACAGCATCTTATTATGTTTACTTCTGACAACTTCTGTTTTATTTTAAATTGAAAAATATTTATTTTAATAACTTATTAAAAAGTTAGTAATTTTTATATTTTTTTATTTTACTCATGTAAATCTTTTTAAAACTACTTTTTTCCATATGCCCTATGACCAGCAAATGTATAACTATTGTCATATTCAACATATGTTATATATAATTACTTATTTAAAATCATTTAAATTAAAGTTATTATTAAAATAATTTAAGAAATTTATGTAAATACAATTTTAATATTAGCGCAAAAGTATTTGTATACTTCAGTTTACCAAAGTATAAGTATATTTAAGTTTACCGAAGCATTCAGAATTGTTGCCAGAACACCACCCAAGATTATTTGATCCATTAAATCCAGTACTGTAAGTGATGTAACAACTTGGTTCTAAACGATTGAAAAATAAAGTTATAAACTATGGAATATAAAAACCAATTGTAAAAAGCCATAATTATTTCTTATTCGTCTAATACTTATATTTGACTCCCACCATGTCCCTGGAAGTACCGCGCTCAACTTAATTTCTCCGCACAGCGGCCTTGCTTGTCAAGGTTCATGTTTCAGAGTTAAAGAGTTGAGAGAGGGTTGTACCACGATTTACAACAACATTTACAAAAAAAAAAAAAACTTACTTAAAGATTAGTGGTCATTAATCCATTGGAAAATAGTTACATTTTCAATTATGTGTCCATCATTCATTTGATTTTCAAAATATTGACAAATGAATTTATGTTATTAGCAATCATAATTTTTTAAATTTAAAATGTAATTTTTAAAAATTTAAGCAAAATTAAGCCAGGGTATAATAGGGTGTAAACATTATATTTTTTTAATATTTCAATTTTTGTAAAAAACTAAGCTTTTTGATCACAATTATTTTTCTGCACAAATTATAAAAACATTTAGTTTTAAGGTTTAATTTAAAGGCACCAATGGTTAGACCATGAAATAAGGTTAAATATAAATCATGGTTTAAAATCAAAAAATTTTGCATTTTTGGATTAAATCAAGATATATATCTCCTAAAGCCATCACTTGCACTTTTAAAAAATGTTTTAAATTGATAACTTTCTTTATAAGTAATTATCAATAAGCATGCAAAGCCAATGGAAAAAGTTATTAAAAAAAAATCAATTATGGGATCAATGCATCTCAATTGATAACCTATATTAATAAAAACCTAATGTCTAACATGAAAGTGAAAAAGTAACAAATATAGTTTATATAATTTTTTATTATTGCAGTTTTTAACTGTTTTAATAAAGTCTGGATGGACTCTATATCAATATCAGGGGGTACCTCAAAGATAATAAATAATTTCTGTTAAAAGAAGTAACGTTTAACAATTTATTTAAGTTCAAATAAGTTGAATGCTATGTGTAATAATTTTGTCTCTTAAACATTATTTTTTTCGTTTTTTTCTTCTTTTTCTAAAAAAGCTGTATGCTATAAAGGTAAGCAAAAAGAGTTAGTAATTGCTGATCTCTAAACACTATTGTAGATTTTAGAGAGAGAGAGCGTTTGAATTTTTTTTTTTTTATGAGACACATTTCTCTTAGGATTTAAGCACAAATAAATTTAATGAATGCTTTAACTTTCTACTAACATAAACAGAAGACTATGAGTAATAATAAAAATTGAAACTTAATTTTTTTTTTGGCATACTACTTTATATTTGATTTTTTGACCTTATTATTTAAAAAATTTAAAAACGATACTGAACTGTCTAAAGAAAAAAAAGGTGGTCAATAGGTTGAAGAAACCCGAAAATTAAAAGGAAAATTGTAAAATATTGTAGATCTTAGAATGCTAATTAACATTTTTAATTTTTTATTTATTTCTTGTTTTGTACTCTATGGCTTTGTACTTTTGGCATAAAACTATTAGACATTAAAAAGTTGTACTTTTATTGTTACATACATATATATATATATATATATATATATATATATATATATATATATATATATATATATTATATATATATATATATATATATATATATATTCATAAGTATTTATAATAATATTAGTAATAATAATAATAATAATAATAACAATATTAATAACTCATTTTAATTGTTTAGGTAAAAAATTCTATTTTTTCACCTAAACATTTCTTATCTTCAAAGCTGGTACCACAACACCATTCTGTATTTTTTGAAATAACACACTCTCTTGTTCTATTCCTATATCCCAAAAAATCATTACAATGTGACCAACTGCTCCACGATCCCCAAAATGCTAAAGTAGGTAAAGTTGTTTACTTTTAAATATTACACCACATATAAATTTATCTACAAATTTTTCATATGTAGTGAATGATTTATCATAAAAACAGTAAAAAATTTTATTTAAATTATTACTACAAGAATTTGTAACATGTATTTTATTTAAATTACTATTTATATTATTACATAATTTTTTATTTTAATGTATAATTTGGTCTTTAATTTTAATAATTTTATTTACATTTCATAAATTAAATATTTACAAAGAATGTGAAATTAAGGTGCCATGTCATGCCATTTAGCATTTCACTAAAAGAATATCATAAAACTTTTCAACTCAAGTTCACTATTATTATTCAAGCAAATTATTATTCAAGCAAATGTAACCTCACTTCAAAATAGCAAAAGTTGATTTGTTACCTATAATTACTTATCAGGTAATTATAGACCAGCCTTACTTGTATATATATACAAGCTGTATTTATTTCAAAAACAAAAAATAAGTTGTTTAACTTTTTAAAAACAAAATAATACTGCTTTTTTACTTTTAAATAAAAGTAAACGCTTTTTTATCTCAAATCATCTAATCAAATTTATTTGTATTACTTTTCATTAAATTCAAAAAAGAAAAAAGTATTTTTGTCTTAAAGGTTTCATGAGTGCAAATTGTTTTTAACAAGCTGTTCTAATAAAAAAATTCAAAATAAATTTTTTAGGATGGTTTTTATCAAGCTAAAACATTAGCTCACCAAAGCTGTCAATGTGAAATAAATGATATGCATTAAAACATTTTATCACATTCTTTGATAGTAAGATGATTCAAAACATTCTTTAAAATTTTATCTTTTAGTAAGTTAGCTAAAAACTCAAAGTTGGTATCTGACCAATATTGTTTCTCTTCATTTAAATATGTTCACATTTTATAAAATACTTATATCCATATGTACTTTTCAGCAATAAACAAAATAGAAGAATAATGTTATGGAAAAACAGAAACTTATTTTGTGAATTACTACAATACAATTACTACATTTTTGTGTATTACTACAATTACTACTATGTAGTATTATTTTGTGTATTATTAAAATGTATTACTTTTTTTTATTGGCATACAATGTATTACTTTTTTTTATTACTACTTAAAAAAAACGGCTACAAGAGTTTGAAGTAAAATCTTTCAAAAAGAAATTGTACTGTGATAATTCTGGAATTATAATAAGATAATAATCTTTCAAAAAGAAATTGTACTGTGATAATTCTGGAATTATAGTAAGATAATAATCTTTCAAAAAGAAATTGTACTGTGATAATTCTAGAATTATAATAAGATAATAATCTTTCAAAAAGAAATTGTACTGTGATAATTCTGGAATTATAATAAGATAATAATCTTTCAAAAAGAAATTGTACTGTGATAATTCTGGAATTATAATAAGATAATAATCTTTCAAAAAGAAATTGTACTGTGATAATTCTGGAATTATAATAAGATAATAATCTTTCAAAAAGAAATTGTACTGTGATAATTCTGGAATTATAATAAGATAATAATCTTTCAAAAAGAAATTGTACTGTGATAATTCTGGAATTATAATAAGATAATAATCTTTCAAAAAGAAATTGTACTGTGATAATTCTGGAATTATAATAAGATACTTAAATACTGATTTAGAAGAGCAGCGCTTTTTTTTTCCTGTTTTATTTATGTTATTAATATAAAAATATAACTTTTAAAATATGTGAGATAAATATTTTTTTTAAAACCAAGTAACCGTTTTATGTACAAAATTACGTTAAACTGTACATTGTAAAAGATTTTATATCTTAAATTTCTTGTGGGGAAAATCAAAGACCGTGTCTTACAATTTAATTAGACGCTATTTCATGGTAATATAATGAAAAAAATAGGGGTTATATAGTTATTTTTTCACTTCATTTTAAAAATCGATGTATTTAAGAAGGTTTTAAGGCCCAATAAAAATTCTTTTAACAGAACTTTTTTTGTTTTGTTTTACCAAGTGATATTCTTTGCTATTCGATTGACTGCAAAGTTGGCATCTTTTAAATATTTTTTTTATGAGGTTTTTATGAGGGTCAGTAGAGAATAATAATCTAGGATTATCACTCACTACTGACTCCTCTACAGGACTCAGTGAAAGGGTTGCCATTCATTAAAATAAAAATGTTAACAATATTGCAATTGACATGGAAAAACTACACTTTGTTGAGCCAAGGGATTTTTCAAGAGTTTCAATTGAAACTTGTTCAGTTAAACACAGTAGGTTGCTATAATAATTCAAGTATCTATTGGATGCAATTCCAGTCCACAATACCCCTTTAAACTGAAAAGATAAAACTTTTGTTACTGGTTTTGGCAGTTTCTTGAGCCCAAGGAACATAGCTTTTGGTGTGGATTATGTAGAACATCCACTTCTAATCTCCAGTGATGACATAATTGAGCCTGTTATATGTACCATAAAAAGACAAAGAGTTCATGCAGGAGTCTACTTGCTGACTTGGCTGACTAGAGTGACTATTTAATATCATCATTAGTTGCAACCAATCTATAAGGTTTATTACATCGCTAGGCTTTTAAGATCATCACAACTACTTTACCACGGCAAGACAATCTAATAGGAAGGTAGCAAATATGGTCAACAGAGAACAATATCTCATGGTAGTTCAACTCATTTTTATGATTCTGATATCTTTGTTGCATGCGAGACATTAGTTTCTTGTAACAAAATAAAAATGCTCAATCTTTAGAAAAGATCAGCTCCAACAGTAGTTAAAACAGTAATTGCTTTATTCTAAACCCAATAGTTGTCAGATTACAAATGTCACTCAATATTTTCATTAGAAATACAAATATTATTCAGATAATTGCATACAGAAATTATTTATAGATAACTGCCTTAGATAATGTTTCTGGACACATCATTAAGTAGCCTTAGATAAGGTTTTAATCATATAGCATTAAGTTGCTGTTATGAAAGTATTGAAACCAATATTTTGCGGTTGACAGAACCTTGAACTAACCATTCGCTCAACTTTTAACTGCAATTGCTTTTTAGTCTACCATAGTTTTTAATAAAATAAAAATTATTTTAACATTTGGCACATCAACTTCCTAAGATTAATAATATTGCAATCACATCTGAATTTCCTTTTTTCGTCGTCAAACATGTTTTTTAATACAGGCAAATTTTCCTTGTTAGCAAATAAAAACCAGTACCATGCTCCTTTTTGTAAAATGGAGTATAAAAAAAAATATTTTTATAAACTTTTTTGAGTAATTAAAGAAAGTGAAACTTAAAAAAAATTGCTGAAGCAATTGTCTCAAACTAAACTTACAACTCTACTTGTCAGCTAATATTAATAAGTACACAAACATATATTAAAACAAATAATAAGCTAGGTAAAGCTTGTTTTAATTGCCAAAGTATTTAATTTATTCAAAATATCTTTAAAAATAAAAAAAATGTTAACAATAAATCCAACCTTTTACATAACAAAATACATAAAAAAAGAAATATTGATAAAAGCAACAACTTTTTTACATGGTAATTCTAGCATAAAATTTCTTTTATGAAACAAAAGCATAAAGCTTAGTATAGATTTTTTTTTTTTTAAACAAAAATTAAATATCATATTAATATAACATTTTTAAGTAAAAAAAAATTATACTATTTTAATATTTAAAACAAATTATTTACCAAAGCACTTAATTATTTCAGAACTGTTTCCATTACATTGATTCATTGTATTTGAAACATTGCAATTTCTTGATCTGCTCATAAATTTATAGGATTCATTACAACACGTCCAATTGTTCCATTGAGACCATAATGCTAAAGTAAAAAATTCATTGGAACAGTTAGATATTTTTTCAATAATTTAAATATTCATTATTTTTTTCCAACATACTAAAAAATGTATGTAAAAAAGCAAATGTTAGTTAGTATAATTACTGTTTTATATTATTAGTGGTATTAACTTTGAGATAATTAACAAAAGAGTTTAACAAATAAAAAATGTTGGCATTTACAGCATTACATATCAATATCTATTTCAAATTAAAAAAATCTTTCTGATAAACATTCTTTGAAAACTGTTTTCGATTTTCTTGAACAACTAACAAAATATTTTGTCTCTGATCCTCAGAGTGTGAAGAGTTAACAAACATTTGTATAAGTCCAATGTTTCTTTCAGAACAATCATTTGTGACACTGAGTTGTTTAATAAAAAGATAGAGGTAAAGAGGTTTAGGCTATCCCTTTTGACATTTTGAAAACTTTTGATAATGTTTGGCATGTTGGTCTTCTCCATAAACTTTGGTCTTACGGTATATCAGGTAACACCTTTAAGATTATAGAACTCTGCCTTACCAATTGTAGTATGAAATTTGTCCTCAACGGCAGCACTCTTCTTTATATCCTAATGTTAAATATTGTTTTTTCACACAAAAAATTTAATATTTAGCAATGTTTCCATCAGTTATCATTACGACAGTATGTATATATATATATATATATATATGTTTATATATATATATATATATATATATATATATATATATATATATATATATATATGTTTATATATATATATATATATATATATATATATATATATATATATATATATGTTTATATATATATATATATATATATATATATATGTTTATATATATATATATATATATATATATATATATATATATATATATATATATATATATATATATATATATATATATATATATATATATATATATATATATATATATATATATATATATATGTATATATATATATATATATATATATATATATATATATATATATATATATATATATATATATATATATATATATATACACAACTTGATGTATTTAAAATCTTTGAAAATACAAAAAAAAAATTAAAAAAAAAAAAAATAATAATGATAATAACAATAATAATAAAGATAATAACAATAACATCAATAATAATAATAACAATAATAATAATATGGAAAAAACATCTTTTTTAATTGCCATTAGAAAGAAGGAATAAAAAGGCAAGAACAATTATGTAATAATATATATTCCCTTTAATATACAACAATGGTTCCAAAACTCTGTAAAAGCCATGAGTTGACTCAGTTGAGAGTTGAAATTCGCTGCAATGCTACACTCTTCGATGGAAAATCCTGACAAAAGCCTTATTTTTTATAAGCTAAAGGAAAGACACCAGTGCATAAAAAACTGTCAAACACACGTTGATCAACACATGCTGATGCAATCATGCTTTGTGGAAAGGTTACAAGAATATTCAATCTGTTCTAGATACCATTGCAACTGATGAACATACAAAATGTTAAACTCTATAAGAGGCGCTTATAGAGTTTAATCTCGTATCACATACATGCATCATACAAACATACATACACACATATATGCACACATACATATATGCCTAAAACCATACATACATGCATGTATACATAAATACATACATACATACAAAAAAACATACATACATACATAAAACCATACATACATTTTTTTTTTTTGTTGTTGTTTGTTATTCACATCCTCAAGGCTGAGAAGGCCACAACAGACGAGGAGGCTACTTTATAGTGGTTATAACCCTCTCTCAACTCTATAACTCCGAAACACAAACATTGACGAACAAAGCCGCTGCGCCGAGAAACAAGTTGAGCACAGTACTACCAGGGACGGTGATGGTGAAGGGATGGTGGGGATCGAACTGACCTGATCTGCTGACCTGAAAGTGTTTGAGGTCGGGAATAAATTGCCAACTTTGCTTCTATGTTTTATGGTCAGACCATTGTATCAAATGACTTGATACAAAGGTCTAACCTGATGCCGGACTTAAAAAAATTGAGGTCGACAATAATTTGCCAACCTCATTTTTCCTAATTCCGAGGGTAGCATACATACATACATACATACATACATACATACATACATACATACATACATACATACACTTATGCATATATTTATACATAATTACATACATACTTATGTACTTAAGTATACGGTTCATATCAAAACAAAAAGTAAATAAATAAATTTATATCAAAACAAAAAGTAAATAGTCATAACACCATTTCTTAACATAATTTGTTTAATTTTTTTTAATATTTTAAATTATATCTTTTACCAAAACATTTTCCCTCCTCTCTTGCCAAGCCTTGACATGAAAAGGCTGAATCTGAAATATTACACTTTCTTGTTCTGCTCATCAATCCAGAAGAGACATTGCAACTTGTCCAGTTACTCCATTCTGTCCAAAAATCTAAAATGAAAATAAAATAATGAAAATAAAAATTTTAGAAACATTGTATGCTTGCAATGAAACTTAGACACCTACAGAAACAATACATTGTTAAATTTCTCAGTAAAAATGGTGTTGATTTACAAATTAGATTTTACAGGGCTACAATAATGCATTATAAAGAAATTTATTTTTAATATGTAAAATACAATAATCTCTTAAAGATAATTTTACTTTAAAACTGACACTTTATAACATGCTGATATGCTTTTTTTATTTGTTAATTTTTTTTATTACTAAAGTTATTATTATTATTTATAAAAAAAATATTTTTATTATTTCTTAAATTATTATTATTATTTACTTTCATGTTGTTATTATAACTCTGTTATAACTATTTTTAAACAAAATTACTAACAAAAACATATTCGTATTTCAGAGTTATTTCCATAACAGGTCTCATAAGCACTTGAGACATTACATATCCTTGATCTGTTCATAAATCCAAATGAATCATTACAAAATGACCAATCGCTCCATTGTTCCCAAAATGCTAAAGAACACAAATTATCTGTTAAATTAATTTAAGAAAATAATTATTATTCAAGACACATGCAAACATGCATACATTTATATATATATATATATATATATATATATATATATATATATATATATATATATATATATATATATACATATATATATATATATATATATATACATATATATATATATATATATATATATATATATTATATATATATATATATATATATATATATATATATATATATATATATATATATATATATATATATATATATATATATATATATATATATATATATATATATATATATATATATATATATATATATATATATATATATATATAGGCAGGCTATTTCACGCCATTATTTGACTACATAAAAACTCTTTGATTTTGAAAATATGACCATGACTGTTAAGATGTTTTTTTAAAAATTAAACTGAAGTGAATTTTTTGAAGCCAAAATAACATTATGCTAATTTTGATAAGTATTTTTACTTAAAACAAGGCCTAATATATATAAAAATATGACAATATGACTTTTTTAACTTTTTATACAATATGGACAACCCCATATTATTTTTGGATGAGTTTTTGTTATAAAACAATGAAGAAATGTTTATTTTCCTTCAAGTGTAGAAAAATGTCACGCCAGGCCTTGCGATAAAGCGTTGGGCGATGTGAACTTTACGTTGTCCAAGAGCGATTTTGCGTGTAGCTAGGGCTATTTGCGTCGAGCAAAAAATTTTCTGTTTGAATATATTTAAAGATATTTTTGAGCGGAATTTTAATGAAGTAATTTACGAATATTTTAACATTTAATAAAGTATTTTAAAAACCGCACGCAGTTGAAATAAAAGTTTGAATTATAAAAAATTAAATATGCTCATTATTTACAAGTAGAAAAAATTCAAAAAAAGTTTAAATCTTTTAAACTAACATTTTAATAAAATTATTCAGCAAAGTTGTCGATAAAATTGAACAAAAATACTTTAAGTTTTAGATTTTAAACTTAAATAATCATTTTAATAATTATTCCATAGATTTAAAAATATTTATTAACTGTTAGACGTATTTAAAGTATTTAAGAGTAATTTCGAGGAAACATTTTAACAATTGGTGAGCAAAAAAAAAAAAAAAAAAAAAAGGATTAATATTAAAACGTATTCTACTTGATTCAATAAAAAAGAACAGTTATTAAAATTTTTGTAAAAAGTAACTCAAAAAAATTACTTAAATAGTAACGATCGCTTTTATGTTAAAAGTTACTGAAACTCAATGAAGCCTGGTCAAGAACAGCTGCTGAAAAATAAAACGTCAATAGTTTTTCGAATAATTTTTAATAATAATTTTTAGGAATAATTTTTTTGCTGAAATATTTCTTTTATACCTATAAGATTTTTATTCTAACATTTTATTTTATTTTACTAGAAATAAAATTCCTTGTTTAACATTAAGAATCTATTAAAAACGTTCGTTTAAGTTTTTTATTAATACGAGTGATTGAGCTTATCAACCGCTTTATGAAAATAAATAAAAATAAATAAATAAATATTATATAAAATCGCTTGTAAAAATATTAGCGATTGCACAGTTTTTAATCGTACAATATTAAAATTTCCAGTTTATTACTCGTTAATTTTTTAAAAAGAAAAAATAATTATTTGAAAAACTTTAAATTACATATTTAAGAAAAAAAAAATCAAACATTAGCATATTTTATAATCTTTTTTAAATTTAAGTTATAATGTTTTTTATTCGTTTAGTATAGACAAAAAAATGTTTTTACATTTTAAAAAACGAAACATTCCAAAACATTTTTAAATAATAACATTTCTACATAAACGATTTAAAGTAGTTTTGCAGTAATTAAATAAATTGGTGCAGTTAATGTCAATAAATATGAAAAGCAAATAAAAAGAATTTAATGACATCGAAAATCACGTCGTGCTTATGCGTCGCGCAGTTCTTATTCATCGCAAGGCCTGTCACGCCCCTCAGCTGAAATAATTTTTAATACAATATAGATAGGAATATAATATACTATACATATTACATATGGGCCAGAAAACATAAGTTAAAGAAGTCATAACCCTCTCTATATATTTTATTATATTATATTATTATATTATATATAATAAAATATATATAGACGGTTAATATATATTATATATATAATTTTAAATACATACCAGACGTATGCATTACCACTTTATAATATCTAGTTTTTTACTGCCGTGCCTAATTGTTTATTAATTAGTTTCCAATTTTTTTGTGCTGCTTTTCATTAAAATGGCATACAAATACTGCCAATCAAGTGTTGAAAAAAATAGAGACTTATAAAAAAAATCTTGTGAAATTTCAAGATTCGCATAAAAAAAGACAGTTTCCAATGTTAGAAACATCTTTTCAAGAATATTCCAAAATGCCATTAAAAAGTGATATTGTTAGCAGGTTTAAGTATTTGTCTAGTACTGATGTGAAAGCTAAAAAGCAAAGGATAGATCTTATTTCAGAAGAAGTTATAAGTTTGTGGAAAGAACAATTAAATTTCCCATGTCTGACAGAGCAGTCAGTGAAGTGAAAGATTAATGATGTTATAGAAAAATATGAAAGTCTCAGAAAAAAAGGGAATGCCGACCTTATGCAAAAAGAGATTTTTGATATAACAAATCAAAATGGATTTTGGTTATCATCTGAAGATAAAAGATTTTATGAAATTCAGTTACAAAGCAAAGGAGAAATTGGATATGCTACTTCAAAGCTGGCAGGAAAGAAGACTATACACCATCAATTGTTCCAATACTTTCCAGCCAACCTTCAGTATCTAAAAGTTTTTCTTCATTTACTGAAAGTAGTAAAATAAAAGGAGACAACTCTAGTTCCGAATTTGAAGAAACTGATGAACAATTTGAGATAGATAATGAAATTACAGATAAAGAATATAATAATTTGAAGAAAAGACGTAAAAAATATAGTAGTTGTAAAATAGCAACACAGTTAGTGGTTTGTGCTAAGGTATCAACTAAGAAAGCTTCTAAAATAGGTAAAATACTGTCCTCAGAAGGCATACATGTTCCAGCTCCATCACAGTCTGGAATATACAAGGCTCTTTTTAATGAAGCAAATATACAAGGCTCTTTTTATTGAAGCAAAACAATTTAAAGAAACTTTAATTCAAGATTTAAAGAATGAGAATTGGAGTCTACACTTCGATGGAAACCAATGGGAGTATCAGGTTGTCGTTCTTATATATATATATATATATATATATATATATATATATATATATATATATATATATATATATATATATATATATATATATATATATATATATATATATATATATATATATATATATATATATATATATTTATATATATATGCATATATATATATATATATATATAAATATATATATGTATATATATATATGTGTGTATACATATATGTGTTTATCTACATTTTAAATTATAATATATATTATATATATATATAATATTATATATATATATATATATATATATATATATATATATATATATATATATATATATATATATATATATATATATATATATATATATATATATATATATATATGCATTTATTTTTGCAGGTATGCATGTATTATTAAAGTTTCTTTCAATTTTTTTGATATCAGCAAGTTAATTTTTTACCAAAACAATTTTCCTCTTCATCTGCAGAACCTTGACATTGAATTTCAGAGTCTGAAACATTACACTGTCTTGTTCTACTTTTCAGTCCAGAAGAGAAATTGCAACTTGTCCATTTGCTCCATTCTGTCCAAAGTACTAAAATAAAAATAAAGTAATAAAAACAAAAATTTCAGAAACATGTTATACTTCCTTTGCAAGCAAGTTTTAAAAAAAGTTTTACACAAACAGAGTTTGTGTAAAAACCAAATTTTTTTAACTGAATGAAAATTTGTGTGCGCAATTTTAAACAAATTACCATTAGTAGGTGTTTTAAATGATAGTCATTTGCGAGAATAATCTTAAAAAGCACATTAATTTTATTTTAAATTGTTATTTTAAAAAGAGTCAAGTTGGTTAATTTTTGAGCATTAAAACTCAACGAACTTGTATTTTGTGTGGTAAGTTAAAATTATGGAGAACTATTACTTAAATAAAAATTTAAACAAAGAAACAAATAAAGGTTTTATTTTATATATAAATAAATTTATAAATATATACTCATATATATATATATATATATATATATATAAATATATATATATATATATATATATATATATATATATATATATATATATATATATATATATATATATATATATATATTACAACATATATAATTATATATATATATATATATATATATATATATATATATATATATATATATATATATATATATATATATATATATATATATATATATATATGAGGGTGTCCCAGCCGCCCCTTATATTCTAAAAAAGATCTTTTCATGTTCTTAAAACTTTCTATTGGTTTCCATAAGCAACTCGGTTAAATTTTTTCAAAATTTTGTAGGATTTAGGGGGAGCGCAAGACCCTTGAACACTTACTGGGTCCCTAATAATATTAAAAAAATTTTTTCTCAAAAGTATGCCATGTTTGGTCTCAAAAGAAGCGAAATTATATAAAAATCTTGAATTAAAAATTATTTAAAAAAAAAATTATTATTCAATTTTTTTTTTGAAATAATTATCGGAAAAATAGACTTTTTTTATTTTTAGGTTAAAAAAGGTCATTTTTCCGCAAAAAACTATAAAATAATAATTTTATTATAAATTGATTATTATTTTTTAAATTTTTATATAATTTCCCTTCTTTTGAGATCCAACATGACTTACTTTTGAGAAAATTTTTTTTAATATTATTAGGGACCCGGTAAGTGTTTAAGGGTCTTGTGCTCCCTCTAAATCCAATAAAATTTTGAAAAAATTTAAAAGAGTTGCTTGTGAGAACCAATAGGAAGTTTTAAGAATATGAACAGATCTTTTTTAGAATATAAGGAGCAGTTGAGACACCCTAATATATACATATATATATATATATATATATATATATATATATATATATATATATATATATATATATATATATACATATATATATATATATATATATATATATATATATATATATATATATATATATATATATATATATATATATATATATATATATATATATATATATATATATATATATATATATATACATACAGGGGTGCGCAGGTTATCGCAGAAAAATAAAAATATTTATATCTCAAAAATGGCTTTTATTTTCAGAGCAAAACTTTTCACAATACCAAATCACATATATTTTTACTCAAAAACACTAATGAATTTCAAAGTAGCCTCCTTTGGCATCAATGACACTCTTCAAACGCTCTGGAACTGACTCACAGCATTGTCGCACCATGTCCGCACTAAGATTCTTCCAGATCTTCTTCAATTCGTTTCGGAGGGCTGCCAAATTTGGATATGTTTTGGCTGCCTTCTTGGTCTTCATGACACTCTATATAGCAAAATCCATAGGATTAATGTCTGGGCTTGAAGGGGGCCACATATCTGGGGTTCAAAGGTGCGGAACATTTTCTTTCAAGAAGCTGACAGTTTTCTTTGCACTATGTGCTGGTGCACTATCCTGCATAAAGGCCCATGGATCGTCCCCAAACTTCTTTTTGGCCCAAGGAATGAGGTTAGCTTTGATGAAGTCGACATAGGTCACCTGGTTGACTTTTACACCTTCAGGAACAAAAACAAGGGGAGTTTTTGACCCATCAGAGCACACACCTGCCCAAACCATGACGCCCACAGGGTGCTGTCTCTTTGGAATAGTCCTTAGTTCCAAAGGAACTGTTCTTCTGGACTTACCAAGAACTCTGTCATTGTATCTGTTGGGTTCTGGTTCAACTGTAAAACTTTTATAAATATATATATATATATATATATATATATATATATATATATATATATATATATATATATATATATATATATATATATATATATATATATATTGCTTCACTTATTTAAATTACTTTCATTTTACAGGTAGTTAAAAACTACTTTTTAATTGAAGTTTTTACTTTATTATTGTTTTAATAAAAATATTTAACATATTACTTTTATGATAAAATCAAAGAGGCAATCAAGCTAAAAGATCAAATGATTGAAAAGTTGCATATAGATTATACATTGCCATCAAAGTGTAAAGACCAAATGAAATTGGTCATTATACTTTGATGGCAAGCACATTGACAGAATGGATTATCTAGTTGTCGTCCTTAAAAATGAAGAAGAGAAACCAAATTGGATGTCCTTGCAAAAGGAATTTCTAAAGTCCTTTGGACGCTTCCATTTCCTTGGACCAAAAATCAAAGGAAAAAACGGAGCAAACAGCAGCATTTTCCAAAGAACCAAACTGTGGAAGAATAAACTGAATTTTCCTCATGTATCTGATTAAGCTATACAATCAAAGCTTGATAAAATACTAAAATGTTATGATGAATGTGTCAAGTGGGGAAGCTACAAACTCCTTGATGAAATTTAATAAGTTAATAGCCAGCCAAATTATAAAATTCTATTTTGTTGTACAAGTTGGTTTACAGACCAACTTGTACAACAAAATAGAGTTTTATAACTTGGCTGAAATACTGAATCTATACAAAAAGGCTTTAAACTCTTTGAAAAATTGCTGTAAGCAGAAACCATCCATACTACAGATACACAAAAGTATTCAATGCGCAGAATGGGTAATCAAAGTAATGGAGGAAATTTATTCACCATGCAAAAGTAAAGACATATTGTAACTTTGAATCCTTCTGTACAACAAGCAAGAACAAGGTCAAAGGTCTTAGTCATTGTTGGATTGAAAATTATTAATATATGTATATATTTTGGTTTAGCTAAGAAAACTGAGGCGTTAAATATGTTTGGATACCAAAAACTTTATATTATTTTAATATTTAAGACCTATGCTTTAAGAATAAGTCAATTTATAATGTTCAGCATTAATATTTTAGGAGAATTTTAAAAGAGTACATGCTATTTTTGTTTCGAATAATTTTATTGTTCTGAGCAAAACATTACATATAGAAACTTTAAGTTGAATAAAAAGTAATCTGCAAAGGCTCTGACAGTGTTTTGTGGTACAAAATGTTAGATCAAATTCACATATTTGGAAAAAATATTTAAAACCAATAGCAACACTTTAATTGTTGTAAAATCTACTCTAATGTCTGAACATAGCTGCATGGAAATGATCACATATAAAATATATATTTACATATATAACTACATACATATATATATATATATATATATATATATATATATATATATATATATATATATATATATATATATATATATATATATATATATATATATATATATATATATATAACATATATATATACATATATATATATATATATATATGTTATATATATATATATATATATATATATATATATATATGTTTATAAATATATGTATATATATATGTATATATATATGTATATATACATATATATATACATATATTTATAAACATATATATACATATATATATACATATATATATATATATATATATATTTATATATATACATATATATATATATATACATATATATATATATATAAATATATATAAATATATATATATATATATATATATATATATATATATATATATATATATATATATATATATATATATATATATATATATATATATATATATATTAACATTGATTGATTACGTATTATATAAAATAATACAAAACTCTTGTACGAAAAACAGTGCTCGATATTATGATAATAGAGCAATATATATATATATATATATATATATATATATATATATATATATATATATATATATATATATATATATATATACATATATATATGTTATTTAAATGAAGAAAAACAACATTATAATAGTACTTAAAGTTTTGTACCTTTCGGCAATCATCAGCTATTAATTACAAATTAAAAATTAAAAACGTAAACTAACAATTAAAAATGAATCAAAATTTTACGGTAGAACGAGTTCTGACGTAATTTGAAAAGGCGCAATCATTTAATCTCCAGTATCAAACGAAACAGGAATTAATTTAAATGTCAACATTTAGATAATATTTTGTTTTTTTTATTAAGCAGGTTGTTTCCATTAAAAGATAAAATTTCTAATTTCTCAAGAAGACAAAGTTTGCAGGTTTTTGTTTCTGGTTTGTAAGCTTCACAGCGTTTTATAACTTTCCACTTTATAATAGGTGTTGTGCCTTTTTCTTTTAAACTCCAAGTTCCATTTGAAAGTTCAGTATCATTTTTATATTTGATCGCATTAAAAGACTTTAAATGATTTGCGTATCTGAACTTGAATGGTGTCTCACTAATACCAAAATATACTTTTTCCTTAGGATCTGGATCATTAGAACTCACAGAGGCTTGGTAAACAATATTACTTACTAAACATTGGTTACTTAATGGACAAGTGGATTTAGTAATACAGTTGCATGTTTTTGTAGCTATATTTCTTTTACTTTGTAAAATCTTGTGGTTGTGTGAACTAATGATGGATTTAATATTTTACATGCAGCTAAAACTAACCTTGATCGAATTTCTATTGAATATTTTGCGTAGTTTGTGATTCACAGAAAAATGTAGATCAACCAATGCTAATAAATGATTTCCTATTTTAGTTTCTACATTTAGACTAAACGGAGGGTTATAACATATGATATTTTGCTTGCGATTTTTATTCAAGTCAATCATTTTTAATCTTGA